ACAGACACAGACACAGACAGACACAGACAGACACAGACAGACACAGACAGACACAGACAGACACAGACAGACACAGACAGACACAGACAGACACAGACAGACACAGACAGACACAGACAGACACAGACAGACACAGACAGACACAGACAGACACAGACAGACACAGGCAGACACAGGCAGACACAGGCAGACACAGGCAGACACAGGCAGACACAGACAGACACAGGCAGACACAGACAGACACAGGCAGACACAGGCAGACGCAGACAGACAGAGAGACAGAGAGACAGAGAGACAGAGAGACAGAGAGACAGAGAGACAGAGAGACAGAGAGACAGAGAGACAGACAGACAGAGAGACAGAGAGATATACACACACACACAGAGGCACAGACACAGACATGTATATACGTACATATATGTATATATACATATGTATATACATATATGTATATCATATTTATATAAATAATCTACATATACATATTTCCATAGCTGTCTACAACAACGTGGGAGACCAACCTCAGGCTGAATCCTGTTCCGGGGGTGGCTCGTAGGGGTGAGGGAGATCGCTCAAAGAGGGTCGCCTCGTTCTGGGAGGGTGTGGGGTGGGAGGGGGTGGCATACCCACAGATCAGGATGCCAAGACTATAAATTACGGGTTGAGTACCCTTGCAGACTTAAGACGACCGACATCTTTTGCCCACACCCTCAACCCTGGTTTTTGTTGGTTCAGCGTTTTTTTGCCCAGGAGCGTCCAGCAGCGCAGTCAGGCCCACGACAGGGTTGGCCTTCCGCAAGCACAAGCCATATCCAGAAACAAATGAGCACGATTATTGGCATGAGCATTATCAGTAGCATTAGCATTCGTATTCGTATGAGTATTGAGTAGTTGCATTGGTAGTAGTCTTAGTATTAGTGTGAAAAACAATACTAGACACGTATGAACCTTAGTATTGGCATAGCCGCGGGATGTTCTGCTCTTTCCTGAGCTTGACAACCAGGGTACCAGCGGCGTTGAGTACTGCAAAGCACTGCATGATCCGCAACTGATACCACGTGATACCTAAACCCTAAACCCTGAACCCTAAACCCTAAATAGGTCTCCTAAGGCGCATTCAGGCACATCGGCACCGCACACTTCGGCAAAGATGGCGGGCTTCGGACGCGAACAATGCTGTCATGCTGCGGGATACTACTGCGGGTTTAGGGTTTGTAGGGTTTAGGGGTTTAGGGGTTTAGGAATTTAGGGTTTTAGGGATTTTGGGTTTTAGGGTTTTGGGGTTTAGGGTTTTAGGGTTTAGAGGGTACGATTCCCATCATTTGCGGAATCCATATGGTCGCTTCTCAAACCTAGGGTCGCTTTTTGGGTAGCCTAGTATTCCGCCTTAGAGTAGTACCCCAAAAGGGACCCTAATTGAGAGAAACGGCCATGTCGTTCCGGGGACTGCTGCTGAGCTGGTTACGCCGGTTTAGGGTTTAGGGTTAGGGTTTAGGGTTTAGGGCCATTTCTGCTTCGTGTCAGCGCAACTCGCGTGCAGGAATGAAGGTCCCGATCATGGACGGTTATACTTTCAGCAGTTCTTGTCGTGGATGCGGGGCAGCTTTTGATTGCAGGCGCTGTGAACCAGGCTTTTCTCCGTAGTTCTCTAGTGTGGAATCCCGTTTTTCCATCTGGGCTGGGTGGAATTCCTAAACCCTAAACCATAAACTCCATTAACGGCAGTCTGCACAAGACAAGACAAGACACTCCCTACAGGGATCCTCTCTTGGCAGACAAGGGGTTACGAACGGAAGTGAATGAGAGCCGCAAAGCTGTGACACGCCAAAGGCTTTTGCCTGCGCACTCGCGACGCAGTTTGGCAAGAACTCAAAGACCCATGCTGACTCCTGGACAGGGTTTAGGGTGTAGGGTGTAGGGTGTATAGGGTGTAGGGTTTAGGGTTTAGCGTTTAGGGGAGCTCTAATACCCCCGAATAACAGCTTCTGGTCTTGCATGTTGAAAAAAAACATGTGGCTAGCATGGCCTGTCATCTGACCTTCCCCGGCCAAACCAGCTCACCAGTGTGACCAGTTAGGGTTTAGGGTTTTGGGTTAAGGGTTCCAGAGGGGATCCGAAGTATGGGCCCTTAATTCGGGTCCCCTGTTATGCAACCCCTGATATACACACACTATATTTATACATACTAAGGGCCCATACCCCGGATCCCTTGAAGTCCCTGTAAACAAGGGTGGTGGGGGATAGGATTAGGGGGACCCATGGGGATATAGACCCTCTGAATAAGGTCTCTGTTTAAGAGAGCCAGAAGAGGGTAAAGAAGGGGTTCCCTTTTAAGGGTCCCCCTGGGTAAAGAAGGGGTTCCCTTTTAAGGGTCCCCCTTATCCTACCTAGGAGGTAAGGGACCACACGACACGACCATCAAGGTCCTCGATTCCATCTGCCAAGAAGTGATCCGTCAGAGACATCCGCTCACGGGCTCCAAGAGCCTGAGCTTTACTGCATACCGAAGGCATGGTTTAGGGTTTAGGGTTTAGGGTTTAGGGGTTTAGGGGTTTAGGGGTTTAGGGGTTTAGGGGTTTAGGGGTTTAGGGGTTTAGGGGTTTAGGGGTTTAGGGGTTTAGGGGTTTAGGGTTTAGGCCTCAATGCCTCAATATTCCCGAATTTCCCAGGAGTCGCTTTTGCTGATGTGAACTCTGGAACAAAATGGACCGTGGACTGTTTCGGCTTTCACTCAAATCGGACGGAGCACGTGCCACGAGTTCTTGAGCGCCTGATATCCGCCATCGTCCTGAATACGTGCCAGGCCTGCACCAGTTGGTTTGGGGTTCTGGGTTCTGGGTTCTGGGTTCAGGGTTCAGGGTTTAGGGTTTAGGGTTTAGGGTTCAGGGTTTAGGGTTCAGGGTTTAGGGATCAGGGTGTACGGTGTAGGGTTTAGTGCTTGGGGTCAACTCGTGCGTTCTACCGAGCCATCGCCGCATGTGGAGCACCAAACATTAACAGTGGCCCTGGCGTCCGCACGTTTCGTCTTTCCATAAAACGCTGTCATCAACCCATCAATGTCCATCAACCGAGTGCATCCAGAGCACAAGCCAATCGGATGAGGACCATGTCCTGCACAAATTGCTGCATAGAACCCGAAACCCGAAATCCTCAACCCCAAGCCCTACATCCTCAACCCCAAACCCCAAAACGGGGGCAAGCTGCAAGTTGCCAGTCGGCCCTAGCTGCTGACATGTGGTAGAAATTTCAAGCAGAACATGGTAGACCCGTCGCAAGAATGCCGGATTCGCTTGGGGTGCAGAGCTCTTGAGGGATGAATAGAATGTAGAGCCGTTGGGCGTTGTGTTGGGGGATGTTCCCCATGGTCCTTATAATAGGGATTGTACTAGGGGGCACTACAATCCCTAGTAAGGACTGTTCGCATAAGGGGCGACATCCCAATGTGTATGGGTTGAAAGAAAGTTCACCATGTTCATGCTGTGCTTTCGCCCCGCATGTTTTGCACGAGCTTGTCGCGCCAACTTGATAACCCCAAACCCTAAACGCTAAACCCTAAACCCTGAACCCTAAACCTCAGCTGTCCTCGGGCGTGTCGAAAGGCAATGCGAGTTTCGCAGCCCGGAGCCCCATGTAGCCCCAGTAGATGGTGGTGGGGTTGATGTTCATCAGCCGCTGCAGCATTCCTTGGCCGCGAGACAGCATGCAGGCAAGGAAAGTGACGCCAAGAATGTGCTTCCTAAACCCTAAACCCTAAACCCTTACTCCCGTCACCTGCTTTCTATCGGGCCTTGTCTGACATTAGAGAAGTACACTGTTCCACAGCAGTGAGAGCCTTGCTCCCCAAAACCCTCAAACCCAACAACCCAAAATCCCAAAAACCCCCCAAAAACCCAAAAAACCCAAACAACCTAAAAATCCAAAAACCCAAAAAAAACAAAAGACAAAAAACAAAAAAAAACACCAAAAACCCTCAAACCCTCAACCCGAAACCCCCTTAACCGCCCAGTGGCGAATGCCACCGATAGTAGAGTCCGCGTTCTTGGCATTCATAAAGCCTTTCTTCTCCAATAACCAAGGGGAAAAAGGTTTAAACTTCAATATTCCTACGAAATAACCCTAAACCCTAAACCCTAAATCACCCTAAACCCTAAACCCTAAACCCAAAAAAAGTTTAAAGTTCAACTAAAGGCGAAGTAAGAAGCGGGAGCCATGGCCTCCAGCCAGACCGCTCATGAACCCCAGCAAGAAGAGAATGTAGAACCGGAAGATAGCCTCACCTGCAAGAAGGTTTAGGGTTTAGGGTTTAGGGTTGAGGGTTTAGGGTTTAGGGCTAGGGTTTAGAATGTGACAATTGCCATAAGCCGAGCCCGACAGCAATTGTGTTCTTGGGGACCCAAGTGGACGCGTCTCTACTACTACAATCCCGATCAAGATATATTGGGATCCTGAACCCTATATGGACCATAAACCATTTGAGGGTTTAGGGTCCCTAACCCGAACCATAAACCCTAAACCCTAAACCGTGCAGCCTCCCAAAATTGAGGCGCGCCTTTGAGTTCAATATGTTCACGGAGCTGCTTGACATTTGCTGGACAATTCTCTCCTTGCAGCATCTGCCTCAGCTAGGGTTTGGGGTTTGGGGTTTGGGGTTTGGGGTTTGGGGTTTGGGGTTTGGGGTTTGGGGTTTGGGGTTTGGGGTTTAGGGTTTAGGGTTTAGGGTTTAGGGTTTAGGGTTGGGATGTTCCCCCTTATGCTACCAGTCCTTGATAGGGATTATAGTACCCCCGCATGAGAATCCCTATATTCAGGAGCTGCTAGTATATAACGGGGGGAACATCCCAAGCTTAGGGTTTAGGGTTTAGGGTTTAAGGCTTTAAGTAGACGCTTCTGGGCGTTTGCAATGGCCCCACAGCCCCAAGAAAGTCATTTCTTGGCAGCTTGCGCAAGGTTGAAGAGCTCGTGTGTCGACAGCGCCTCCTGCGAACAACTTCGACCCCCCTTTTGCCTGTCAAGGGTTTAGGGTTTAGGGCTTAGGGTTTAGTAGGGTGTAGTGCTTCTTGAAGATTCATACTCATAAGTGTGGTTATAAGTACCCTAAAAAAAAAGGTTACAAGCACAGTTACCGTCTTTAGAACCCTCCTTCGAAGTACCAATGAAAACTCCAAGTTCGGGACCCCTAAAAACCCTAAACCCTGCAGGGTTTTGGAGTTTGGGTGGGCAAGCAACGCGCCGTCCTCCACATAGTCCTTGCTCCTCTGGCTTAGCCATCTCACTGATGGCACCACGTTCTCGTGCCCTGAAGATTTGCAGGGCACTGCTGAATGTACCGCATCCGCACATCTTCAGTGACGAAACCCTAAACCCTTATAAACCCTAAACCCTAAACCTTAAACCCTAGAAACTGTTCTGGCCCAGTGGCAGGCCAGGAGGTGTACTACCGCCCTCTCCGGACGTCGGCTTTCTTCTGGGAGCTGCTGCAGGACCGCCTGCGGACTTCTTGCGCAGTCGATCATGTAAGATTCTGGAAGCCCTAAACCCCAAACCCTAAGCCCTAAGCCCTAAACCCACTGGCTGAATTTGGAAAGGATCTCTGTGGAAGAGCTAAAAGCTCCCAGAACAGAGAACCCTCTGAGAGCATGCCAAGTGCTAGTTGCGCATGCGGGGGCCAACTTCCGAGATCCAAGGATGCAACAAGCAGGGCACGGGAAAAGCTGCCAAAACATTCTGAACTACTTCTGCTGAGACTTTCAACAGTTTCCCATCCTGAGCCGGTTTAGGGTTTAGGGTTTAGGGTTTAGGGTTTATAAAGGGTTTAGGGTTTAGGGTTTAGGGTTCAGGGTCCCCCCCCCCCCCAAAAAAAAAAAAAAAAAAAAAACAAAACATAAACACTCTTCCTTAGAAGGGCAATACGGGGATTATTGCTTTGGAGGTTCTTAAGCAAATAGTAGTCTTCAGCCCTTCAACCCCGGAGCTTCGGGAGGGCTCTTGAAGAACTGTTTTTTCTTGCTTTCTTTCCTTTTTTCCCCCCGAAAAGGCTTTCTAGCAGCGGCGCAAAAAAGGTAGCAACAGCACAGAAATTGCAGGGGCATTGGCCTCAAATGCCGCGGAGGCTGCGGCTCTTGCTTTGCTTATGACTTGTGGTCGAAACTGCTGAATCTTCCGCGCGAACTACCGTTTCGAGCCCTCCCGTAGTCCACGGACTCTTCCGCGACTCGTCAACCAGTTTACCGGCACTTGCTTTTGCAAGCAAACTTCGGATTCCCTCGGTCCAAATCTATTCCGACACATCTGAGGGATCAGACTTCAAGCAAGCCAAGCCACTTTCAACACTGGGAGACTGAGAGAACCCCAGAAACAACGCGCAGACGCATCAGATGGTAGTGCACTAGTACTGCTTGCCATACGAAGACCTGCTGTCGTGGTACATATGTAC